CAACCAAAATGTGGAAGGTGTGTATGACCTTGAGAAGAAAATATATCACCACTTAAAAATATTTACATAAAATACAAGGTATACAAAATGGCAAATTGAGTTCGAAAATAGATAAAGCACAAACCTCTAAAAGTTTGATAAATGCAATGTGGATATGATAAATGATATGCAATGAAAACCAATAAAAGTTTCAAAATAAAACACAGGCAACTTAAATTAAAATGTAAGCATCCAACTTTATTTGATAAAGGATAGGCTACCAAGTGACAAAAGAAACTCTTTACGCTTTCAGGCTTGTGAAAGATATCGACAGCTAAATTTAAAAAAAAATATCTTACGCTAGAAGCTAGTGAATATTAAAATGACCATGCCTTCTTTATTATGACTTTTTTCCTTTTATGCAGTACAGTTGCACGCAAAACAAATGTCATCGAATACATTCATGGATATTTTGAAAGGTCAGAATAGGACACTAGAGATATTGAAGTAGATGGATTAACTATAAAAGACCTATTAGTTACACAAGTAATATATATATACATAAACTAGTGTAGACACTATAATCAGCAGAAATACTCGACCAGCTTACATTAACACTTTTTATTTGATCCAGCAGTTTGGGAATTTGCTGACATATATATTTAAGGAAAATGGCATGCTTTCAACATTAACACGTGAGAAAAAAAGCAACTATACCTCATGTTTATTAATTTAAAGCTTTTTCTGTTGTCAAGACAGTTGATCGTAATGTGAAAAACACAACGATGAAAATGTTTGGACGTTCAAATTTTACTCTTTAGCCAAATCCTTTTTAATCTCGTGAGCCAAAAATATATGCAGCGGAGTTGGCTGCTTGGTCGTAGGAAAAATTATTTACCCCATAGGTGAACTCCTTAACGTCAATGACGTCATCACCATCTCTGTCAGTGGCATGGAAAACGGCTCTATTATTCGCCTTGCTGCGAAATATATCAAGGAATTTAGAATACTCACTTAGCGTTAAGTCCTCGCTGCAGTCAAGGTCAACAATATGGAAAAAATCCATAGCCCATTCGAAGACTTTAGCACTTGTAGAGCCGGAAGCCCTTTCTAAAGGCTGAACCCAATCCTCAAATGCAATAGACGTCTTATAGTCGGTGTATTCATTCGACCACCAGGTTTTATAGGCCATGGTCATTACACCATAGACTGCCTTAGCTCTCCAGGATGGCAGTGCAGCACGCTCCGTTGACAAATCAATGTACTCTTCCTTCGTTACATTGCCGTCCTTATTGACGTCAAAGATGTCAAATAATTTTTTGAATTTCATACGCCAATACGGAGTAAAATCTCTGTTGTTGTCCTGTGCAACCTAGATTGATACATTTCATTTTAAATTGAAGTGATCACTGAAAATCACTGCTACTAAAAAGCTACATTAAAGCTTTTATTAAATTGAGTAGAATCACAAACAATTTATTATATAATTTTGAATGCAACATCATGCTACATTGTAGTCTTTCTGTGTACTGAAATACATGATAACCTTAACCGTCATTATAGGCTTTTATTATTGAAGGAGGCTCTCTACAATTTCGAGCTTAGTCGGTTTTGAAAGAAAATTATAAGACAAAAGAATTACCCTCACTCCATATGACGAATCAATGGTTAGAACAATTGCAAGTATCAACAGTCCAAATTTGATAGAAAACATTTCATTGAATCTGGTCACACGCTAGCCTGTAATTAAAAAAAAACAAAAAAATAAATGAATAACACACTGTTTGATATTCAATATATTTAAATTATATATAAACGCACATTATTTTTCCAAATGTATAGATATCCATTTTTAGACGCATTATTTTTGTAAAATCGCCATAAAATAACCTCTACGATAAATTGTCTCTAAGCTAATCAATGCTCCTCCACACAGATTACTTGCAGAAACAATGAGCAGCTGGCTACCTTGGCCCCTATCAGGGACCCAAAATCCCCTAATGTAAACTGTATTTAAAATATGAAGGTGTAAATCACTCTCTGATTGAACTGTCCACTTATAAAACTGACAAGTCTGAACCCACAAAGACTAGAAGTAAGACCGAATAAGAAAAAAACAACCAGGAAAGCCTTACTGCAGCAAGGGGAGCTACTGGCCGTTTCTCTGACTAGACAGTTACTAATCAATCTTCACCCTAAGAAGTTAATATGGAGAATAAATAAAACCAAATAACGCATACAATGGTTATTTAATTACTTAAAACAGCCATGTACTTTTGTAATGCTTTACGTACGGTTCGAATTCAGGAATCGAAGCGATCGAAACAGACACTAAATAATCTGTAAGAAGGTAACAAGACATATTGGTTTTCTTTGATAATTCAGAAAAATGTTTTTGAAAACAGGTCCATATTAAAGGACAATTTCGTTGATTACCGTATGTTGTAATTGTAATAAGGTTTACCAAAAGAATCCACAACAATTAAAAAACCCCGAAAGTGTCTCAGAGCTGCAAGCCGTCTAAAATTCCGTGCAACATGTTTCTACCGCTAGAAATGTGCAGCAATAAAAAACATGGTAATATTTGTGGCCAATCCTGTATAATTTAACAACTCGTGATAAAATTTCATATGAATATGCAATCTTACTTCAACTACCCAACACGTCTTCATTTGGACACAGACTTGCAGTAATAATATGTTTTCTGAAAATCGTGTTTCGTACCATATGCTGATACCATACACTTTCATATAAATATGCAATCTAACTTCAACTACCCATCGTTTTCCTCATTTGGGCACAGATTAAATTCTCTTCAAAATTAGCTGAATAAAGCACATAAAAGCCATCAAATTGTTTTGTCTACCACTAAACTGTACCAATCCATTGTTTCATGTCAAAGTAGAAACACTTGAATACTTGCAGTATTAGTACTTTTTCTGAATTTTCGTACCATATGCTGATCCTTTACCTGTAAAGCTTATGCTCCGAACGCGCCGTTTTTTTCTGATAAAAGCCTTTATTGTCCTTTGCAGAGCGATGCTTTAATCTCATCACGAGTGACGCAGAGCATTTCTTCATTCTTTCCGTTATTGCGCATGCCCATTTTCCCAATGATTTTATTGGATAAAATTATGACTACGAAATGAGTGTCTGCATATGTTGGTCCTCTAGCTCTTATATTTATTGTATTGCTTACCGTTGTTTTTAGCGCATTTGGTTTAACTCCGGTGAACTGCTATACATATTTATATATGTACACTATATGTTTCTTCTGATTCAATCTTCATTATATTACGATTATATCAAGTGTAATCTACCCCACTGCAACTTTAATTCTTAACATTAATTCCGGGTCGGTTTTTTTTATGTATGTTAACATTAACGTAGTAGATACATGTATGTTTGTTATGCGGGCTTTCAACGATGTGTTTTTCTTCATTTATTTTATACGCCATAATTCTCATCTGTTTGTAATGGAAAAAAGGACAAAGCTTTGTAAGGCTAGGAAATAATTTTTTAGTCGGTATGCTAAAGATGAGTTTAGCTACATGACTTCCATTTCGTTGGCTCGAAACATTTCTTTTAATGTGATATATGCTTTATAGTTGGCGTATTCATTTGACCACTACAGTTTGAAAACAGCGGACAATACATATAATCATACGTATAGTGTATAATTAGGTAATAAAACCCCAAATGCTGCCAGTCGTTGCCTTTGAGTCTGTATTCTACAGCAATAATATAACATAAACAGAGCAATTTCTGTGTCGCACCTAAAACACTCAAGCAACGCAGCACTGTGATCTCTCGTGCGTGAGAAAAGAACTCTGAAAGCAACTGCAATAGATCATCTAACTTTACATTGTGCTTTACGAATCTGGTTTGGATTCATATTAAAACTGGATAACAAATGTTTTGTATGTACCTCTTTATGTCCGACAGTCCGACAGGCCTGTCGGACATATCGGGTTGTCACATTCAGAAGATTCGAAATAGTAACCAATTTGCCCACAATATGACTAAGTGCACGTAGTATGTAGACTCCATAACATAAATGACGTCGTTATTTACCACCAAGGTCAAGAACACTGAAAGTGACTCAAACGTCGGCATATATCGAGGCAATTGAAATATTCATTTAGTGAATATTTAGTGATATTAATCCAGTCTTCTTATACATCACAAATGTAAGGATACGGCCTAGGTTTAAAGCAGCGCTTTTTAGAGAAAAATTATAGTCATCTGTAGACTGTTTCAGTATCACTTGCTGATTAAAAGACATTTTATAAGGTTTTTTATAAATACAGTACGTGCTGCATATTACGAAAACCGTGGCACACTGTACAGGTAGTTTCACTGTAAAGCACCTTGAGATTGGTGTTACATGTGGAATTACTTGATCTCAACGCATTACTGAAATGTATGATAATTCCTGTGTATTGTAATCCACTCGTCATTGACTGTCACGTTTTCAAAATCTTATTTTCATTTCCCTCAATGTAAAACTATATGATTCATACAGACTGCCACCTTAAAAAAGTATTTATACAGGCTGCCAAGTTAAAAAAGTTCAAGGCCGCTACCATTAAAATTCAATTAAAATTATGGTGCTTTTTTAAATGAATATGTAATTTGTGGTTCCTATCACTTAAACGACAAGGCAATGTATCGATATAATTTGCACTACATTTTTTCAGCTCATTGTTCTTTCTTATATATAGTGAATTAACTTATGTCATATACCACAATAGCATCTTAATTACATATTTACGTTAATCTTTTCTCAGCCCGCATACACTGCTGGAAATGTGTAGAGCAGGAAGGAGGGAAGCAGTATATTGTTCGTGATATGGTACTGTTATCACTGTACAGGCAAAAAGAGAGGCCTCAAACATCCAAATTCATCAGAACACAGGATCAACAAGGTAAGAAGAGTGATTTTCAGCAAAAAGAACACGATTGAAAGGAAATTGGCTCTGCATTTGAATGACAAGCTGATACTTGTTTTACTGCGATTCATGGCGTTTTGCTATAGGTTTTATATGAGAGCGATTTTTGATAAAGACACTGTTCTGTTTTACAACGAAGAAAATGGTGGGTGTGCTGTGAGTTTCATTGCAGTGTTTCCCTCCCATTTCGAAGATGTCTTTTTTGTACATGGAATCTTGAGGAAAATTTGTGCTCAAGCCTGTGGGTTCAGCTATTCCCACATCCAAAGGTTTATATTATATTATATTGTATTATATAATATTATATTATATTATATTTTTTGGTGTTTTGATTTTAGCACATGTCCATTGAGTTGACCACAGAGAAGGGAAGTGTGGTGTTTATAAAGATATATCTGGACGCCATAAAACTCGAAAACTATGAGAAGAACGATGTTAGCAAGGTAATTTAAAGAATGAACGCAAGCATATTGAATAAAGAATAAGGCATTCTAGACCAACAGACACTCGGTTTAAATGTTTACATGGGGATTTCGTGGCCCCCGTTTTACAAAGAATCTTAAATATGTAGTTAACTAGCTCGAACTGCAGTCTACTAGGAGTGTTTCACAAATAATCTGAAGTCCTACAGTACTGTCTAGCTTTGTTTGCTTACAGAAATTGACGTGCTAGAGGAACTTTTCAAGAAAAGGAGGTATAAATAGAAAGATAAAAGGAAATTTGTTTTTGAACTTATTGATTGCTTTAACTTCAATACAATTTCAAAATAACAGTAAATATTAGCTGGTCTTGAAACGTTAACGATGCAATCTGACGTCTAGCGATCCAAAGTACTAGTATAAACAAACCGGCGATCTGCTGGGTGATATTTCATTTAATTTCTTTTTTAATTTATAAAATCAACAAATTTCAGTAACATTCAAATATGTTATAACATATTATTTTGAAGAAAGTATGCACTTTCAATTTAATTACGTTGGTAACCAAACTCTTCGCCAGGGAACCCGACTTTTGTGAAACGTGGGCTTGTCTCTAATTTGTGAAAAAAATCTCGTCATAGTTTAAGTGTGAAAGTTGCGTTGTTTACGGCATTTTTCCGGGAATTATTCCATCGACAGAACGATCGATGTGCCATTATTATTTACGTGGAGCGTTCCTAACAGGACACTGCTTCCCCCTTTTTTTCTGGAAATTTTCTGGGCCTGAACTTTGAACAAATCTGTTTGATATTGTAAAGGCTTTTTCCAACAGTATACTGACACGTATAGATCACAACGGTAGGGAACAGGCACGGGTGCGTGTAACAAACAGGTGCATGTATGCCCCCCACCCCCCCAACCCCACAGCACTCTTTTATGTTAATAAGAAAACAAAGAAGCAGATTTTTGTTCCAGCCTATGTTGGTTTTTTCGCCGTCTTCAGGCGATTCACTTTGAGAATTACTCTCTTTGTCTGAATGTTTCTGTAAGTTTTAACACAAAATATGACTCCGACTATATGCATATATAAATGTATGTCTTTTATACTGTGTAAATATTGTACCCTAGTGAGCCTAGAAATATGCTCAAGAAACTTATTTTTATAATTATTAGCTGAACTTTGCCGAACCGCATTCTGTTGTTGAATCTGGAATACGTGTAGCTTCACTAGTCTCATCTACCTTCTTGATTCCTATCAGAGGGACTTGGCAGAAACCTCTTTTGTATAATATTTTATTTTACTCTTTTACCCCATGATTAATTGTTTTAATTCATCTTTCCGCTGAGTGAAAAGGGATATACAAATCCATCTTAATATTATTTGCTTTAACTCTTATGTCCTAGTTGTATTTTCGTTCTAGGTATGCCATCAAGGCTGTTGGCCTTGTGGCGTTTTTGGGTTTGTTGGCTTACCTTACCATCTACTGGAAAAACATCGTTTCTTTCACGGCAAACCTCCAGACAAAAACCAAACAGTCGGACAAGGACCTAGAATGGAGCTATAGAGTCTTCATGGGATTACCGAGAAACTTGACCTGCGAAAGATGGATCGTTGTGGATGCGGGAAAACATGCATCCGCCCAACTAATTGAAAAAGCGTCTGATAGACTACATTTTCCCTGGTGCGCTATTGTAGTCTCAGATACGTTAACATCGTCACGTTCTTTGCATGTCATTTTACCAAATAAACAAAACAGCATAGTATACTTAACTGGTGCGGCTGAATATAGCAGTCTTTTCAAGTCCCCATTGAGAAGAAAAACGATCGGCTACTTGTTTGCTATAACCAGTGGAGCCACTATGATTTACGAGGACGATGGAGGAATGGGATATGAATGGCTGGCCTCTAGTCCGCCTCTTGATAACAAAAGCGCTGAGGCTCCTCTTGTTATACCAGCAGGTACAGTGAACATTTGGAACCCATATTCATATTTCTACTCTGGAAGTGATGTCTGGCCTCGAGGTTTCCCAGGTGGCATGGCCAACCGTCCTGCCTGCAATGCTCCCCCGGTGCCATACGCACTGCGTAATTCAAGGGTATTACTTGTGCATTATCTCATAGATGGGTATGCCGATGTGCCAGAAAAAATTCTCAAGTCGCCATTGAAATTTGACAAATCCATTAGTGGTCCAGTAGAAGTGCAAGAAGCCACATTTGTACCCTATAGCCACCATTCGACGCTACATATGTATGATGCCTTTTGGGGACTTCTAGTACCCACTACATGTGAGGTGTCGATATCTGATATTATTCGTGGTTATATCACTCAAAGACTGCTGTGGGACATAAACGGTAGCATGTTGGTCTCGCCGCCCTGGACAAAGAGAGCAAACCCATCCCGTCAAACACTGTGGAAAAGCTCTCATACATCTAACAAAACTGTAATCGAAATAGTCAAACACTTAATGGCTTGGTCTAGCAAGTCGCCATCAATTGATACGAGGTTGAAAGAACTGTATCTACATTTATTTGAGAAAGGAATCATTTTGAAAGAAGATCTGGTGGTATTAGACACCTGGATAGAGTTGCTGACGGCCGTTGGGTATGTCTTCCCGCGAGCCCAAGTACCAAGCTGGGCTGAAAGAAGGGCGATGGCCAAACCCTGGGACGGTGTAAGGTTGTGTGTTCATTTCAACCATGTCCCCAACAAGCAAGCATTTACAACATTGTATCAAATGTACAGTAGGCATTTTAAAGAGATAACATTCACTGGGGAAGGCACTAGGCAACCGTTTATGGACCCAAGTGTTCATTTTCTGCCCTGTAACGATCAAGAAGGTGGCATTTTTCTGCATCGTTGTCTTCCTAAGCACTTAACGTATGGTGGGTTTGGAAACAATAGCACGCCGTATCTTTTTGTAAGTGATGATACCTTCTTCAATCTTTCATCCTTTTTGTCCTATCGCCGGGATGTTCTGTGGATATTGGGACCTTTACAAACACTGGACATTGACGTCACGTGGCCAGATGGGTGGCGTTGGTGGCCGTTGCCGTACGGTGGCGCTGCGCTGCGGAGAATAATCGATATTCTGCCTGGAGAATGGAGGGACCACTTGGCCCTCGTGAAAAATTGGACACTATCAGGAAAACGATTGATTTCTAGGTATAACGCAGATACTGTATTCATTCCAAATAACCAGTACAAAACACGTTTTATTGAAGTTTTAAAATGGTTGATGGGACCGAACATGCCACGATTATTTGCTGAAATCGCTACCCCATTGCTAGTTGACCTTATAACCACCGAGAAGCCGGACCGACCCGATGTCATTCAATTAAAAAACAATCATCCCCGTGCTGGTCTCGATACGGCACTTAAGGCGCGGTCGTGCAATTTACTTCATCCTTTAAAGTTGTCCAATGACAGGAATAGGCTAATTTGGCTGTCCATGTTTAAGAGTGTGGAAAGGATTTTACAGACGCCTCCATAGTTGAACTGAAAATGTCATGATGAATAATCTGTTATGGAAGAAAGGGATAGTATCCTTCATAACTGACCTGCTTGTTGGAAGCAATTATATCTGCAGATTTGCAGATATAATTGCAGTGCCTCATCGGATCGCATGCTACTAGACATGTGCATTTTGATGCTTATTGCGTATCGATTTGAATGCATTAAGTGGTATTTTAAAAGTTTGATGATTAGTTTTACTTTTATGGAAAATTACTGTGGAAGGCTATATTTGAGGGGTTGCATGTTCTTAATTTAAATAAATGAAGTTAAATATAAATATCTTCAAAGGAAATTGGGCTTTTTTAACCTTAAGTCATCTCCAAGTTGGTTGATGGAACAAAAAGTACTAATCAGACTGCCATGTGATTATTTGTAAACAAACGCACATCAGATTGAAGGTAGAACAACTCAAATGAGCCTGAGTCATCCAGCCGTTTCGAGGATATGCGACTATAAAATATTTGCCCAAGGAAGCAAAATATAACCGTGCAAGAGTATATTGGATCTAATGTAAAACAAGTCTCATCATTTTGAGAAAAATTAAAAACCAGACATTTATTTTATCGTTTTACTTGCCACAGACAATTAAAACAATTAATGTTATTTAAAAACTAATTTATGTAGCCAAATGTTCACAAGCACAACGAAGCCCTGTTTTTGCTCCAAATTAAGTAAGATAAGTCCATATGACTGAAATTGTCATTTATTAATGACGAAAACTAATAAGATACAAAGTTATAAAATTGGGGAGATAATCAAACATCCCCCAAACTATATAAGTGCCAAATATAAAAATAATAAAGTATGTTACTGAATGTAACCAGGATTAATTATGAAAAATATGAGAAATCACAACAGATATAGGAGCAAAAAGTTGGCGCAAATGAAAATAAAAGGTGGCTGGGGAAAACTAAATAATCCGAGGAAAATAAAGTCACCAAGTAACAAATAGCCCTCCCCAAATCTTGAAACCACAAAAGTGATGACTGGTAACCAGTGTACAAATAACAATAAAGAAACGTAAGTAATAATACAGTGTAGCTGCTAAAACTGCGGGTAAATATATCCGCAGCTACAAAGCTGAATTACTTCTCACTGAATGCAGCTCGATGGAATTAATCTCCAAAACATCTTTCATAGAATATACATGTGTGTGCCTAGATACACAGCAGCTAAGACATTCCTTAACCCTGGACATCTGTTATCACCTTGCTTTGGTCAACTACTTAGGGTCAAAATGTGCAGACACAAGACCCAAACAAAACGTTGATGTATTACCAAAAAGTTAAAAGCACCACTAAAACAAACCATTTGCTACATAAATACAATTAATTGTCTTAATTGTAGTTATATAGTGCTAATTTTCTACTGTAGATTTCCAGTAATTTATTGTAACGTTATATTTCGCCATGATTTTTATAAATGCAATGTACAGCATTGGTCAAAAAGGTTGTCCCACCCCCATTTCCATGTACTTTTATTTACAAATGATCACCTCACAGCTCTGAACTGTTAGAAATAGTGCTTTTTATTACGGATACCGTGTCTAACATGATTAATGGTTAAAACAATACAAAATAGTGGTGAAAATATACACATTTTATACCATTTAGTAAAATTTATAAGAGGTACCCCCTCAAATCGACTGTTCCACTGCAACTTCTACAGATGTAAAGAAATGTCTATAAAATTGAAAAGGCGCCATCAAATGTCACCAAATTCACACACAATTAGCATTAGGGTGTGCTCGTTAAAGATCACGTGCCTAACAGCGTGTGCATCTACCGCGTACTGCAATTATCTCCTGTAGACGGCGCGACAAGCCTTCAACATGGGTAACAATTCTGTTATGTGGGATATTGTCCCATTCATCCTAAAGAGCGTGGCGGAATTGATCAAGATTATTTAGGAATTGGTTCTCCTCTGCAATGCACATTCCAATTTATGCCACAGGTGCTCAGTAGGATTAATATCAGGGCTCAAAGACGGTTGTCCCATCCTCAGAGCCCTGTGTTTCTGCAACAAATCGTTTGTCAGACGAGAGCTGTGAGCAAGTGCGTCGTCACAATGAAGCCAGTAGTATCCCTGAAGTCACCTCTTGCAAATGGAGTGAGATTTCTGTTGAGAATGTTACATCAAAATGCCCCTGTTACGTTTTGTTCCAAAAGGAACAAAGTACTAATATCATGGGCTTGGAATGTTCTCCAAATGCGGATTGATCTAACACCTCAGGCGATATTATCCTGCACACACCCTTCCAAGAGGCATTTTTAACATGTCTATGGACCCTCTTTGACCATCGATGGGATACAAGAAATAATTTGAGACTGCATCAAAATCAACTTCCTTCCAGTGATGGATGGCCAGGTTCAGGTGCCTGTGGGATCACTGAACGTAGCATTCTCAGCTGATATCTCATTCCATCTTCAAGAACTGACTTTGGGGTTAACTCCAGGCTTTATCATGACTGCACACTTGCTCACACCTCTCGCCTGACAACTGTTTGTTGAAGAAACATAATGGTCTAAGGATGGAACTCTTTGAGCCCTGATATCAAACTTACTAATCAACTGTGACATGTATTGGAGTGTGCAATGCAAAGGAGAACCAACCCCATAAAAACGTGGACCAACTCCCCCAACTTCTTTAAGAAGAATGGGACAATATCCCACAAAACAGAATTGTAACCCGTGTTGAAGGCTTGTCGCGCTATCTACAGGAAATAATTGCAGTACGCGGTAGACGCACACGCTGTTAGGCAGGTGATCTTTAATGAGCACACCCTAATGCTAATTGTGTGTGAATTTGGTGACATTTGATGGCGTCTTTTCAATTTTATAGTCATTTCTTTACATCTTTAGAAGTCACAGTGAAACAGTCGATTTGAGGGGGAACCTCTTATAAATTTTACTAAATGGTATAAAATATGTATATTTTCACCACTATTTTGTATTTTTTAAACCATTAATCATGTTAGACACGGTATACGTAATAAAAAGCACTATTTCTAACAATCAACAGCTGTTAGGTGATCATTTGTAAATAAAAGTACATGGAAATGGGGGTGGGACAACCTTTTTGACCAATGCTGTATTTGTAGAACAATTGCTGTTCAGGGACGACCTCGATTCCATATCTGCCACAGGGGCCAAATGCCAAGTGTAGAAATGCGTTATTCGCCTATTTATAATGTTCGTATTTAAGAATTCTTCAGAGCCATTAGTCGCCAAAGTTTTGGTAAAAGAAACAACCATGCGATTTGTCCATCACGACTTAAGATGTTCACTGTTGCTTTATCAAAAATGTGCCTTTTCGATTAAAAGGTGTTCTTCAAAAGCAATTAGGTCAGCAGACACCACATGAAACCAAATAGGATATATACAGTATGGCCACACGATACTCCTTGGTATATTGGAACTGGTCTGGCTATTCGGTCGGCTCAGTAGGAACGTCCCTTTTGTACAGATTTAATATGGAATATTTCAGTTTCAAAGTACGCCTAGGTAAAAATGTGTTCTTTTAAAAAAACTCCGATCTCATATAAGATATGTGAATGGAGTAGTGTGTAGTCAGGTGTTTATAGCTACCAATTAACTGATTACCTTGTCTGTTGCGCTGCTGAATTTTGTAATATACAGTGATTTAATTGGATAGTGCTCCTTTGGGCTGATCAAAACCTGGCATTGGCAAGACATGTTTCTCTCAAAAAAGTATCCATATGTCGGCAATTACTGCATAGAANACCGCTGTTTTCCCAATCAATCTTTTCTGATGTTTTGTATGAGCGTTGTCTATTTAAATACAATCTGTCGCATTACTGTCGGATTTAAGATAATTAGTCACGCTTGCCCCCCATTCGACATGTTATATATCCCATTTCTCTTTCACCTCTAAATATTTACATTTCAACTTTAAATGAAAACATCAAACTACAATTTATGCCGGCTATGACGCAGAAGTCAAACTTTTGAAATCCATAATCAAAAGCAGAAAATTCTTTTTGATATAGACAGACAGATAGATATATAGACAGATAGATAGATACTTATAGAAGAAAAAGTCGAGCAAGCGGGAAGACAGCAGGCGCTGTTTATGAAGGACTGGTATGTCCCCGGACCCACGTCCTCCCGTTCCAGAGGCGAACATTCTGACCACAAGGCCACCTGATAGATAGATAGATAGATAAATAGATTGGTCATCAAACATCAAAAAGGAAATATGCGTTTTTATAATCGATAAAAGAACACGTTAAACACGGTTGTCAACAAACACAAATACCAAACAAAAAATGTTTATTTGCAGTTTACTATGATGCGAACAATGAAACGCTGACATTCAATAATAAATAAACATTTCAACGTATACTCTCAACAGCGCTTAAATAAATATTCTTGAATTAAAATGTATGAACTAAAGAGGAACAAATTTGCTTTGATTTTGGTAATCACCATGTTATAATTGTGAAGAACCAGGGCCGTAGCCTGAGCAAAATGCCAGGGGAGGCAGTAAGCGGACACGAGGGGGCGAAGCTACCGAGGGGGTGTGGTGTGGTGTGTAAAATTCCAAATTCCAGGGGGGGCAGCTGCCCCCCCCCCCCCCTGCCCCCCCGGAGGCTACGGCCCTGAGAACCATCCACCGGTTGATTTTGAATAAGAATATTACACTAAAAATGTACAGAGGGAGACATGCATATCAGACAGGATGATTCAATGGTTTATTCTAAATAAGATACACATCATATACAAAGCAAACAGTAAAGCTAATGGTTAAAATACGATTAAGGCATGTCTTATGTCTTTATTTGTCTCACGTTGTCCCGAGGAGAATCAACAAAAAAAGTAAGAAACGAACCAATTAAAAAAGTTAAAACTGAAATTCTTCTTCCTGTCGAGCCACCACTGTATAAAGTACCTGTCAATGGTGTTTGTTTTAATCTGAAACACAATACACCCGGATGCGGATAGGCAACAGCTAAGCGAGTAAATTTACATTTTAAAAGTTCAGAAGTTTATATGCAATTTTAAATCAAAAAGGCCATGGCCAAATTAAGTCTTTATCATCGCTGGCTTAATAACCAGTGCCTAAAAAGACATCAGAGGGGCTGGGCTCTTGATCAGCCCAGCAGCCCATAAAAGCGTCTATGAACTCGTTGGTGTCAATCACACCATCCTCATTCCAATTAATGGCATCAAATATATCTTGAACCTTACCAGTGTTACGGAAAAGAATGGGAAAGTTTGAATACTCTTCTACCATCAATTTGCTATCGCAGTCGAGATCAAGCGCGTCAAACCAATCTTTGCGTATTTTACGAGATCTTCTCTTGTAATTGGGAGTTCGACTTCGTCAGCCCAAAGCCAATCTTGAAATGTGATGGATTTTGAATAGTTGGTGTAGTCATTTAACCACCACAGATTATAGGCACTAGACAATATCCCATTTACCGCCATGGCTCTCCAAGATGGGAGAACTTGCTGAGCTCGCTCTGTTGTTGAATTGATGAATTCCTCTTCAGTCACTTTGCCATTTTCATCAACGTCCAAGATATCAAAGAATTCTTTGTACTTGAAAATCTAGTGCGCACTAAAGTTTCCTTTGGGGCTCTAAATTTTTTTTTAATCTATAAAACAAACATAACATGGATGCGACACAACTGCAAATGGCAAAACATCGCATATTGTTCACCCTATTTTTGTGTGTTTTTATAGCAGCACCTTACCACTTTTAAGTTAAAGGGAGTCTCACTAAATTACTGTGTACTTAACCGGCTTAAATGTCTGACACGGCTTGTAAAGCTGTAAGGGGGTAATTATCTTTACCCTAGCTGTTTCGGTAGGCAGACCAGACAATTAAGCCGATTAAGTTGATAGCAATTTAGTGAGACTCCCCAGGGAGTTAGACCGATCCAGATGGATCGATCTAGGCATGGGAACCCAGTCTAAGATTCTTGTAGACACTCGATTTTAAGTAGTCAGGTTTCTTAAAATATTGAAAAGACAATAACAAATTCGTGTCTGGATCTACCTCTACCATGTTCGAAGAGCAGATAGTCTGAACGACCATAAGAAGGAGAAGAACTTTCAGATCTTTTGAGGACATTCTTACATGAATTCTGTATTGTTCAGATTTCTAAAACAAAAGTAACAACCAACCTGAACTATATTCTGCAATATTCATCGAGTGTGAAATACAAGTTTATATAACACCCTTCATATAAATAAATAACCTTGCTATACTTTGCGAACGTACAGAGCTAGATATGAAATCTACAATCAACAATAAAACAGTGTCTGCATTTTGGTAGACCTATATGTGGCAACGTTTACAGCACAAAAACAGTGCAAATCATACGGCATTAGTATCATAACCACATCTACTCATCTACCATAGTTCGATCAAATGAAATCCCAATGTTAGTGAACACTGAATCTTACAGTTGTCGAAGTTACTGAAGTTGTTTACATCTTCAGTACAGCCTATATCCCTCATTATATAATTAATTTTAGCTTTACTTACCATATGTCTGTTGTTTCTCTTATAGGTCCCAGTCTTATGTAATATTTTGTTTCAGTCAGCGTGGTGTATTTAAACACCATCATTTCGCAGTATTGTCGGGATGAACATTATCAGTCACGCGTGTCCCCTATTCGATATGTTACCAATCCCATGTTACTTTCTTTAAAAACATTACATTCGTACTTCCGGCTGTAAACATCAAACTACATTAAATAGGGATTATGAGACAAAATAGGACATCCTGTTGTCAAACATTTGAAAATCGTTGAAACAGTTTGTTTCTTTTGTGATAGATAGATACTAGCAGTTGAATTATTTAATGATCTGCCTACTCCACTTCCTTTCAATCTCCAAACATTTGCTGTCGTCAATCATACTTATTACATCTAATGTAATTGATTGTATTTAGGTGATGAAAATGATTATTATGTCGCATGTGGCTTAAATTTGGCAGACACTTTGGCAGATACTTCTTTACTATTTATGTATAAGAAACTTATTTTACATGTACTAGAGAAATATTTATGCCTCCTGTTCTGAGCGTCCGTGTTCCATGCATCAACATCATACCTTAAATAACCATGCTAAGATCCTAAGGATTCGTCGGTTGTATATGAACACGGAAATCACTAAATAAATCTAAATGAAGAGAAATGTAAAGAAAAAGACAGTGGGTCAGACGGCTTGATTCAATTGTTTATTCTAAATAAGATATAGATCTGTATGATAACCAAGCACAGAGGATAAAATCCAAGCCAATGGATAAAATTCAATCTAGGCATGCCTTACCTTTGCTTGCCTGGCCCTGTTCCGACCGAGTAGATCAACATATAGGGAAAATGAGGAGATTTAAAACGTTGAAACTAATATTCTTCTTCCGGACAAACTACCACTGTCATATTTAAAACAACAACACTACAGCAGCGCATCCAAATGCCAAAAGGCAAAAACAAAGCGACTGCATACACTTTTAAAAATTCAAAGGGCAAAATGTAATCTAAAGGCCAGGTCTGAATTACAGGGGTACGTCTTTATAATCTCCGTCTTAATAACGAGTACCGAAAAAGACATCGGAGGAGCTGGGCTCTTGACCGACCCAGAAGTCCTCGAAACCATCTATGAACTCATTGGTATCAATCACACCATCCTTATTCCAATCAACTGCATCAAATATATCTTGAACCTTACCAGTGTTACGGAAAAAAGTAAGGAAGTTGGAATACTCATCTACCATCAATTTGCTATCGCAGTCGAGATCAAAAGCGCCAAGCCAATCATTTCCGGATTTTACGATCTTTTCTCTTGTAATAGGGAGTTCAACTTCTTCAGTCTGAAGCTTTTCTTGAAATGGGATGGATTTGGAATAGTTGTTGTATTCATTTGACCACCACAGGTGATAGGCGTTAGACAATATACCATGAACCGCCTTGGCTCTCCAAGATGGGAGAACTTGTTCAGCCCGTTCAGTTGATGAATCAATGAATTCCTCTTCAGTCACTTTGCCATTTTCATCAACGTCCATGATATCAAAGAATTCCTTGTTCTTGAAAACCCAGTGCTCACTGAAGCTTCCTTTGGGGTTCTAAAATTTATCAAAATATTATAAAACAAACATGACGTGGTAGCGACACCACTGCAAAACACTGCTTATTGTTCACCCTAATTTTGTTTTTACAGGAGCACGTACGTACCACATAATCAATGCGCCAAACCCCAATGACCAAGTGATCCGCGTGGTTTCTCACCGTTTACGCTAATCAAATTGTCCTTTGAATTTTATCCTGCACTATTATCATGTTATGTGATGGGTTCGTAAAGTATCATTCATAATTTTCAATGCGTTACAAAATGTACTTTCTTATAATATATTTAACCCCTGTCCTTTAACTGCCGCACTTTGTTCTCCCTTTACTGTTAACGGTATCCATTTACGATCCTTGTAAACACCCGATTTCAAGTAATCTTACTTATTAAAATATTCAAAAGACAAAAATAAATTCGTGTCTGGACCTACCTTCACCATCTCCGAAGAGCAGATAGTCTGAACGACCATAAGAAGGAGAAGAACTTTCAGATTGTTTGAGGACATTCTTACATGAACTCTGTATTGCTCAGATTTCTAAAACAAAAGTAACAAGCGTCCTAAACTATATTCTGGAATATTCATCGAGTCTGAAATACAATATATATAACACCCTTCATATAAACAGATATCCTTGCTTTACGAGATGCATACATAGGAACTTAGATATGCAATCCGCAATTAACAAAAAAACAGTGTCTGTATTTAGGTAGGTCTACATGTGGCGGCGTTCGTTAATCCTCTCTTTTGGTCCTCAAATCAAATTCAGCCCCTTGGTTCTAAACTGTTTACAAAAGGCTCTGCTCTGGTCCTACACCTGTAAATGCCCATCATAACGTGTACAAACGTGTTCCTCAAACGTGTCCTTAGCTGGTTGTCTTTTGGGCCCCAAACTTTTTGTGCGGTATAGTCTTCATTTGCAAATCTGCCAGTATGACGTTCGGGGGAAGGGAGGGGGTTAATTACTTGCAGTTTTGCAACCCAATTAACGCTCATTTGGTTGATTCGCGAGGCTAGTTGGGTGATATTTCACAGCATAAATTGAAAGAGATAAATTGCAGAGTAACCTTGTGTCCCAAGGATACTGCTTACAATTATTTATTCCCTATATGCTTCGACCCCACCCGAGCACTTGTAATTGATACTCTGTTTCTTGATTAATGTGAGAGATCCGAAAGATGAAAAGAGCGCGCAGACTTACTTTTGGCAGGTCAGACCACAACGTAATGGATACGGTATCTCAGGCCAAAAAAATATAACTTCACAGGGCAGTGAGGTGAACTCGAGAAATATACCTCTCCGACAAAACTCCGAGCATATATGCTCACCCTGCTTCCTTCATGTCTTTATAACAATTTTGTATTCCAACATCTAATAAAATTTGATATTTAAAAAAAATTATTGTAGGATTTTACAAGTATTACCACTTTGCACCATTGCTATTTTATGGCGCAGAGTACAGGTTCTAAACACGTATTCCTGCGAACAGTAGGTAATAAAAATATAAATGTTAATCATAATAACTAAATCACTCTGCTGGCTAATTGGCTACCAGTTATTGCCAAGATGTGTTTACTTTATAACACTCTCCTCTAGTTCGGGACATTTACAGAAATGTGTGAACATGATATTAATTCGAGAAAAGGTATTTTATAGTGTTTGTAAATGTTAAAATGGAAATTACCAAAAAGTATATAGATTTCCTTATTGAGAAGACATGTTCCACTCTACCCCCCCCCCCCCCTTCTCCTGATTTCCTGGCCCGAGGAGCTATATGTTTGTCCTAAGCTCTTGAACGAGCTTGATAGAAACCAGGTGTGGAGATAGTAATATTTTATTACCCGAGCCAGACTACCGACTTACCAATCTTACAGGTCGAAATAAGTGTGGGCAGGGGGGGGGGGGAGTTAACCGACCACGCTAGATAATCACAAAACATGATAAAGTATATCAAAAGAAAGGCTCAACTCGAAATCTTTTTTTTTTTATTTCAGATCGTTATTTCATAACGTAATAGTTGCATAAGAGATAAAAGGCGCAAAATAGAATATACGGTTTGGCCTTCGAACAAATAAATTAGATGTACAATTTTTGTTTTGCCTTGGATCGGCTCCATGGATCAAAAGCAACAGTAAAAACTCTTTATCTTCGGGTATGCGCCATATATGTAAACCTGCGCCGTCAATCAAATCCGCACCTGGTCAGCTGTGTCATACTGTAGGGATAAGTGTGTTTATTGATAGACTATGTTTATATTAAACCTACAGTTTTAAATAGTCATACCGAAACGTGCCCTTGGCTGTCTCTCTTTTGGCCTCTAAATTATTTTCTTTGGTATATAGTTTTTTTTTTTCGGAAACATATATGCTAATATGACGTTCGGCGGGAAGGGGTGTGGGTTATTAAAAATCGAGTTTTATTGGTTTAAACGACCATGTGAGGTATCCGCGAGATCGACGTGTAAGGTGATACTTCTCGGCATGAATTGAAAAAGATAAATTGATAAATTGCAGGGTATTCCCTAGTATATTGCTTATAATTAGCTATTCTCTTATGCTCCCCCTCCCACCCTGCCCTCTTGTAAAAAATACTTATTTCTTTAAAATGAAAGATGAGAGCGTAAATTAACTTATCTCTTCTGCGATCCGATGAATCATTCCTTAAGAAAGTGAACGTTTGAGTCACGTTACCGACACTCACGTTTTACATAACGTTTTTATTAATGTTTCATATCACGTTTATAACTGTTGACTGTTTTCCCTGTTAGAGGGTACATGTACAATAACATAAACCAGAGAAAATAATGGAACCTGTCATATATTTATGCCGATATTAAACTAAATAATATTATGTGTGGCTCACATTTTCACTTTTTGTTAAAAGTTTTTTAACATTGAACATAATATTTTTGGGTTAGAGTGTCTGCATCTGTAGGGGTGTTTTAAAGGTTTGAGACACACCATCATGGCAGCGAGTGAGGACCACACACACAAACACACACACACACACACACACACACACACAAATGTAATGTCTTGAACACAAGATGCAGAGCACGCCATATAAATATTGTAGTAGTATTAAGCATCCTAAAGGTAGTCACGCAGCAAAACTTTTGTGTTCTTTAAAAATGTGAGAATATATTATAGCAAATACAATACAAATTTAAATAATTGTAATTCATTTCTTTCTAACATTCAGTTTACATACGTCATTTGGTAGCCTCTGAAAATTTTAATCCTGAAATATTGGAGAACATAACAGAGTCAGCTAAGGACACGTTTGTGGAACGCGTTTGAACACGTCATAATGGACATTTACAGGTGTAGGACCAGAACAGAGCCTCTTGTAAACATTTTAGAACCAAGGGACCGAAATTGATTTGAGGACCAGAAGAGAGGCTTAACAGACGTTTACAGCACACAAACAGTATAATATCATAAGGTATGTATCATAAACGCTTCGGAGCTCATAGACCAACTAAAATTCCAATGTTCATGAACACTGAATCTTAAAGTTGTCAAAATGACTGAAGTTCTTGATACCTACGATACAGCCTATATCCCCCAATGTGTAATTCTAAACTTAACTTACCAGATGCCTGTTGCTTCTCTTATCGAGCCCAGTCTTATGTAATGTCTTGTTTAAGTGATCGTGATGTATTTAATTACGACCATTTCGCAGTATTGTCGGGATTAACATTATTAGTCACGCATTTCCCCTATCCGACATGTTACAAACCCACAGACAGCCTCATCTTTGAAAACATACATTTGTACCACTGGATGTAAACATCAGACTACCTTTCATACGGGCTATGAAACAAAATAGGACACCCTGTTGTCAAACTTTTGAAAATCGTTAAAGCAGATTGTCTCTTCTGTGATAGATGCATTTAGATAGATAAATAGATAGATTCTAGCAGTTGAATCACTTAATGATCTGCCTTCTCCACTTTCTTACAATCTCCAAACATTTCCTGCAGTCATTTCCTGCATAATCATATCCAATATAATTAATTGTATTTTTGTGATGAAAATGATGCTTTATGTCGCATGTTGCTTACATTTGGCAGACACTTCTTTACCTGTTGTAAGTGGATGTCGGCTTTCTTTATTGTTATTCTCCTAATAAAATTAATTGTCATACCGGCTGCCAAGTGCAGAAATGTGTTGGTCACCTTATTACTTCTAAAGGTACATACGAACCGAGCATCGTTGGAGCGTGGATTCCCAGTAACACATGTAAACCACTTCTACTAGATTCTTATATGACTCAAATAAATTCGACATACCAAGGGATAAACTGAATAGATCACTCGATCAGCCATAAAAACATTTAGACTGCTCCTTTCTTTAAATTCTTGGTTGTAAATTTAACCTACTTTCGTGACCTACTTTCCTGCCCCATTGACATACAGCTTAGAATGCCAGCAGAAAAATCCGTTTAAACATCATTTTCGGGTAAAATTAAACAATGTCTTTTGGTAATTCTCTTAGTTATACTACTTGAAACTATATGCTGGCATTTGGTTGGTTTTTGTGACAAAAATTGACTTTGTATGCATCTTAATGTTGGGATTTATGGATTTTCGAAGCCATTAATGGACAATTTTTGGGTAAAAGAAATAGCCATGCCATTCGTCCATCACGACTAAAAATGTTCACTGTTGCTTGATCAAAAAATATGCCTTATCAGTTAATAGATGCTCTTCAAAAGCAATTAATAAGGCAAGCAAACAAAACATGAAAATATATAGGATTAATACATTTTTGCCAAACGCTGCTCCTTGGTACATTGAAACTAGTCTGACTGTTGTGGAAATAAAAGGCCTTCCGTCGCAAGCTGCTTTATTGTTCAACAATTTGACATGCAAAGTGGAATATGTAATATGGAGAATATTGGCCGAAGATTACCAACGTTTCAGTTTTGGTCATATCTCTTGGATCATTCGAATCGGGGTGTCTCATACTTTCATGTCACATCAAACAAAACATTACAATGACAGTTTTTCTCGCCTCTTTTTATTTATGTATAAGAAACTTGTTATTCATGTACTAGAGTAGTAGTTATGGCTCTCGGGGCAGAGCGTCCTTGCTCCATGCATCAACATCATATGTGAAATAACCAAGTTATGATTCTAAGGATCCATTGGTTGTATATGAGCACGGAAATCACTAAATAAATCTAAATGAAGAGAAATGGAGAGGGAGAGAGATAGAGAGAGAGAGACGCAGGTCAGATGGGTTGATTCAATTATTTATTCTAAATAAGATATAGATGTATATGATAATCAAGCATAGAGTAGAGACAATGATTAAAATTCAATCCAGGCATGCCTTATATTTGCCTGCCTGACACTTCCGAGGAGAATTAACTTGCAACTGATATTCTTCTCCCGGACAAACTACCACTACATAACGCACCTGTCATGTATCATT